CTTGCACAATTGACCCATGTTTTTATGTTAAAATATTCAATTCATCAATCTGTCTCTTGTTTCATTCACTGAATCTTATGTTAAATTTGTTGTTAATTTTAATGATTGATCACCATTAAGGTTTCTTACAGATCATTTGATCAAGATTATAGTAAACATCATGCTTAATCTTGGTAGACATGTGAATGAATGAAGAGAATGCTATGCAAACATCCTTCCATGTATTTTCTTTAGTTCTTTAATGTTTTCTTACATGCTAAAGACTCTTAATTTGGAACCAAAGTTGAACATCCCAATTAGGTTGTAGATTAGGAGAATTTGATCAAAACCACACATCATATGGCTGATCATATATGTAAAACGAACTCTGGAAATAGGTTGGTAATTGAATATGGTTTAACTTTATAAACATGGAATTGGTTTTGTAATGGTGAACTCGAAATCCCTAGACCCATCCTCATCGTTTCTCAATCAACATATCATTTGTTGTTACATTTTTCTTGCATTTTAGTTATTCTCATTAATAGCACAAAACCTACATTCAATTTGTTATTTTTATTGCTTAGTTAGGGTTCTTTCAAGGCTAGTAATTTATAAAGGTCTAATCAGTCCCTGTGGTTCGACACCCTTACTTGTTCCATTATACTAACCATATATTGCACTCGGAATGAACATAACAGTGGGGTTACGTATATAAGGTTAATGTGGTAGTTTGAAAAGTCTTGTTACGTATATCAATCACCGCTTAATCATGCATGTGGAAAACATGACACTCGTTGTCATTATTTCACGCATGATCCTTAACGTCCTCAAAGCTTTTTCTTATTTTCTTTTTTTTCGCCAAGGCCAACTAGGTTGTGTTCATACTCGCTAAATTCCGAGGCATAACATACGTGCATCATAACTAGTGAATATTCTCGATTCTCATATTACGAAAAAAAAAATTCACAAATTTATGCAATTGGACACTTGAACCAGAAATTGTTCCATCCCAGTTTTGTCGCACGTCAAAACTTGAAATTTATTCTACAACCCATAGGCCCCAACATGAAACACAAACCCTAATTTAACTTCTAAATATTAATTAATCTTTAAACAACCCATTTATTTCATAAATCATTGATGAATGAACTTGGAACTAAACACCCTACTTTAGTATGCATGCCGAAGCTTTAGTCGCTAGAAAAAATGGAACTTTCCGGCTAAAACAGAAAATATGGTACAAAATCCAGCTCTCTTATCACTTCTCTCTTGCATCCCTTTGTTCGAAATCAGAGGCATGAGGTCAACCCAAAACCCAGTTTCACTCTTCTCACCTCTCTTTGGACTTTACTCTCTTCGAAATCAAATGAATTAATACTTAGAAGTTAAATTTGGGTTTGTGTTTTATATTGGGGCATATGGGTTGTGGAATAAATTTCAAGTTTTGACATGCTACAAAACTGGGATAGAACAATTTCTGGCTTAAGTGTCCAATAAATTTGTGAAAATTTTTCCGTAATGTGCATATGGTGTACATAGCCACATCTTAATATGAGAAATGGGAATGTTCACTAGTTATGATGCACATACGTTGTGCCTCGGAATTTAGCGAGTATGACCACAACCTAGTTGGCCTTAGCGAAAAATAAAATTAAGAAAAAGCTTAGAGGACGTTAAGGATCATGCATGTCCATGAAATAACAACAATGAAATAACAACAATGAATATCATGTTTTCCATGTGCACGATTAAGCGGAGATTGATATACGTAACAAGATTTTTCAAACTGCCAATGTAACTGTATATACATAACAATTATGTTTTAATTGTATCCATTATACCAATAGGTTGCCGTTAAAGTTTCTTATTAATGTGAAAATGAGCTCATTGCTCAATCTCTAGTTCTATGCATATTATGTGCATGTACTGCACTTATAATGTGCATGTGGTGTGCATATAGTGTATATGGTGGTGACGTCATAGGTGATGACGTCATTTTTTTATTTCAAAAATAGAGCTGTAAGTTCTGGGTTTTTGGGTTGGCTCAGATCTGTGAGCATATCATGTGCATGTCGTATATATACAGTGAGCAAATCCTGAAAAATTCATCCAACAAAACACCAACATTTAATGATGGGGCTTTGTTCCCACCCTCGATGTGAGTCCAATAGTGGTGGTCTCGAGCGTCGGTCGTTTACCGTGTTGTCAGAAAATGGTCGGAAAACTCGCGGTCTGCTTAAGTTTCGATCCAACGATCGGAGATGAGATTCGTGACAAGGCTAGGTGTTTTGGACTCATAAGGATGAGATGAAATTGATGGTGATTTCGATTTGGATGAAGTTGGTCGAGATGACTGTGCACCGTGTCTACATAGTGAGAAAAGGAGAGAAAGTGCATGAGGGAGAAAGTGAGAGAAGAGAGAGAGGAAGGGAGAAAGGGATGTACATATCAAAAGAGAGAGAAAAAAGAACAAGACCTGGAAGTGCCCAAGGACTAGATGGTGGAATCTAAAAGGAGAAAAAACAAGCCATTTTCAAAGAGAAAGTAATCACCCAATGCGTGTGGGATAGAGAGGGGGAAGCTAGCCATAATGAATGTGAGGAAATAAAAAAATGGGAGGAAATAACCCATTTATATACAAGGGCAATTAAGTCATTTCAAGGTGTAGGAAAAATCCTATTTCTGTCTTATTATTGTGCATGCCGTGTGCATATTCGAAATGTCGTATTTTGTCCCAAGATTAAGAAATTGTCTTATTTCTAGGTATTTCTCATAAAAAATCAATATGGGCTAGTTCCCCAACCAATTCACAAGTTATTAAATTTCATATCTCAACTGATAGTGGCACATTCGTAATTTAAATATATTCTTAAGGGTTGGGAATAGGGGTAACCAATTAATCTAGTTGCTAGGCAGTGTGTCGCTCTTTTACACCTGAGTTCAAAGTTCTCTTTTTATAAATTAGAGTAGTTTAAAATAGGGTAAATTACATAATACCCTCTCAGGTTTGAGGTCTATTACAACTCCATACAACATCTTTAAAACATTTCACTTTCATACCTCACCTACTATTTTATTTCAATATAGCACCTCCGTTACATTTTCCATCCATTGATCCGTTAAAAGCTGACGTGGCTGCCACATTTGTGCTAATGTGGCTGCCACATTTGTGCTAATGTGGCTACCATGTGGCAAAAAAATAATTTTTTATACATTAAAAATATTATAATATTAACCATATTTAATAAAATAAAAAATAAAAAAAACCAAACCCAAAAATCGTCTTCCCCACCCAAAATCCCATGTCTTCCCCTTCCCCATCCCCAGCCACATTCACCCAAATTCCTCCATTGCTAAATTCCTTTCCTTTCTCCATTGTACTTCGCCGCCTTTCTCCATTGCCAAATTCCTCTCCTCTTTAATCTCATCATCCCCATCATCCCCATCATCAAAATCCAAAATAAATTGGCTCTAATTATCAAACAATTCAAGAGGAACATCAACGAAAAATGGTCGCATCGTTCCTACCTACCATACCCACACCGGGACCACGACCCACATCCATGCAACTGCTCTTCCCAGATCAATTCCTAATCTATTAAAGGCTTGAAGCCAAGAAACCCGCCCCAATTGCCTAAAATCCGAAGACCCGTGAAGCGCCAGAAGAAAAACAACAGAGAAAATAGGGATTGTGAAACGTTTTAGAGAGAGAAAGTAAAGAATAACGAAGAAGGAACAAGATCTAATCGTAGAAAAAAGCAAATGAAACTCGAAGCTCGAAGCTCTACTCCTTGTGGTTGTCGATGTTGTAAGCCTAACTCTCTAAAGCTGATTTGCTGTGAGTAAGCCCTAATTGGAGTTTTGTGTTTTGTGTGTGAGATCTTGGGGGGGGGGGGATTAGGGTTTTGTTAATTTCTGTTTTATTTTGTCAGATAGGGGAATAAGGATATTGTGACTTTTGTGTGAGATTTGGGGGGAAAATTAAGGTTTTGTAGGCTTTTAGATGAAGGGACGGAGAAGAAGTGAATGCGGCAAGGGATGGGGATGGGAAGACGATTTCTGGGTTTGGTTTGGGTTTTTTTTTTTTTTAAATAGGGTTAATATTATAATTTTTTTAATGTATAATTTTTTTTTTGCCACATGGCAGCCACATCAGCACAAATGTGGCAGCCACATCAACTCTTAACAGATCAATGGATGGAAAATGTAAAGGAAGTACTATATTGAAATAACATAGTATGTGAGGTATGAAAGTGAAATGTTTTAAAGATGTTGTATGAGGTTGTAATAGGCCTCAAACCTGAGGGGGTATTATGTAATTTACCCTTTAAAATATCACTTTCTTAAGAAAAAAAAACAATATCACAAGAAAGAAAAAACAAAATCATGCATTGTATAATAGTCTCCGAGTCTAAGTTCAAGCTTTTATGAACTTTATACGATTCATCGGTTTACCAACCTTTAAAATAAAACATGTGCAACCCACACATCTATAAGAAACTAGTTTTTCAAAGGTCAGAAAGCATTTTGCACTATAAAACTTTTCCTTTAATATATTAATGTTCCCATGATCTCTAACCTAGGGGTAACCATTATATTTGTATATGATAAACCATTAATTCCAACTCGCAGCCAAAGTCGACATACATTCCTCTGAGTCTGCAGCCAAAGTACGTATAAAATAAATATGATTCGTTAGTTCTACAGTCACATGGTGATCACCAACCAAATGTCCCAACTAGAACAATTTAGTAACTAAGAAAGAGTACCCATCACAACTTTACGAAGAGTGGTGTTATTCCTACACCTTCTTATACCTTTCACGCACCACCTGTTAATTTTTTTCCCGTGAACCTTTTCAATTTATTTGATTTAATGGCCGAAAATTGAGCGATGTGTGTGAAAGGTAAATATGTGTGTTTGGATAGCACCACCATTCTCGGAAATATAAAATCCATAACTGCATTTGTGTAAGGTGTTTTTCTTTATATTTCTTTTTAAGGAACACATGAATCCCATTAAACTCTAATTCAAATACCATTGACAGTCAAACTTGATTTTGGTTAGAAACTAGAATTCCCTTTTTCTTTTCACTGAGTTATGAATTTAGAAGAGAATACTTTCAGGTTATAAAGTCTACAGCGAAAACAACATTAGAAGTGTCACAAGAAGAGTCCCAAACAACCACAGCAGCTGAACTGGTCCCGTATTCGAATAACCAAAGTTTGTTGTTGATGGTGCAGTTCTTGGGACAACTTCAGCCTCAGGCTGTGGACATACTCCAAAGCTCACATTGGTCGTACACAAGAACACGTAATTATGAATTTATGATTACCATGCACGTAAATGACCAGAAATTAGTTTCATTATCGCTTGAATGTCTTGTCCAGATTGATAGCGTGATAACATAACATATCAAACTGTCATATAAAACCACATATGCATCACATTACCGGATATTTATATACTGAATATCATATATTACTCACCTTGCAGCTAGCAATGGTTCCACACCCGCAAACTAAATGACCGTTTGCGACATCCGTAGCTTTAGGAGCTCCCCCACCATCACTCCTCTAGAAGGTAGGTTACAGAAATGAATAAATGAATACATTTATAATTCTACACACATATAAACAATGAGCATCAACATAATTTTTGCTAGTAAGTTTATTTCTAAAAGTAATTCATACCTTGTAAAAATCAACCGCAATAAAGTTGGGCCATCTTTTAGAAGACGCATCATAACACGTATTCACCATGCGAAGCAATGCATCTGAATTATCCTTGCAAGCTTGGGTTATATCGGGAGCATCTCGAAAATAGTTGACCAAGACCAACGATTTTGATGTTGTGTTCATGGAAGATGATTCGGCGCGATTTGGACATGATCCAGCAACCATTCCACCCTTTCCATCTACAGTTTCACTCAAAACAGAATTATATTAAGAAATAGGGTCTTCTGTTTGTGTTTTTTGTGTCAAGTTCATGTTAATCGTTTTAGAGTTTAGAATTAAGCATGTTGGGGTCAAAGATTTATGTTTATAGGATTAAATAAAACCCTAAAACGACGTAATTTTGGACATAAGTACAAAAAAAATACAAATAGAGCGTTCAAAGTCAAAGATAGGACTCACATTGGTTTTCGACCACATAGTTCCACTCATAGGCTATCCCTTCACTTGCCTCCTTTGCTCGTTTTGAAGTGAAAACCACCAAACGCTGATTTTTCTGGATCATATCAGCAACCGTCGGCCAATCCCCGCCTTTTTTTGGCATTCTTGACACTGGGAACCAGAATTTTCTCAAACCAGCTGCATCAAACACTTTGGTCAAGCCCTTTGGTGATGTAACATAGTCTTCAATGATGATGGTCACAATCTCTGATGGGTTTGCTTGAAGAAAGGCTTGAATTTCTTTGAGCACATTAATGGCGGGTTGCTGATAAACCAGATTGCAGATTTAGTACTGCTATTCTTAAACGAAATCTTTTCAATAAATCTAAGCAGAGTCACAAATAGCGAAGTCATTGATAAACGTTTTAAGTTGAAGACTTAACTTGAGAAGCATCTGTTTCTTACCCTTCACAGGATGTAGAAATCAATTAAACCAAAAATCGTTTAGCTAATTAACTGTCATCATGATAATTTCAGTAGAATTGTGTTTGTCTGTATATTTGATCACGGTTAAATAACTAAAGGATTTTTCAGTTTGGTAAAGTTTTGCAAGAATAATCCTTCAAGAGTTAAATCTTCAATGGGCAGTCGCATAATATAAGCAACCCATGCATTTACATCACAACACAAAGTCATCCTTTTGCGTATATACAAAAATATCATTTGGAAGCCATATAATACTTACAAAAGATGTGTAATTGTAGCAGTTGCCGCCGAACGAGTGACATAACCAAATACCATTTTGGAAGTCATACATATCCAGCATTAACCCTCTAACACCATTCTGCAAGATGATATAGCAATTAATTCACAAATTTAAGAATTGAAAATTTATCATATAGCCATAATTATTTTAAAAATTCCCTTTGTTTTATCGGTCTATTATCGTTATTTGGCAGTCTTGCTTATGTACTATATTGCAAGTAATTGTCGTCATCATCGTAGTATACGTACGGTACATAGGTTCTGCTGGAGCTTCTAATCATCAAAGTCTATGATTATTTTCTTCTTTTTTGGATATTAGACAATCGACCAAGAGGGAATTATTAAAGTCAAAACAATACCTAATCCATAACAACTTTAATATCCAAACATATTATGCAGTAGGTAGAAAGTCTTACCCTTGAACATCCTTCCACGGTTCTACAAAAGCACAAATCTGATGGCTATTCTTGCCGCCAAAGCCAAGACTCAACAAATATTTTCCTTTCTTAAAAAAAAAAAAGTGCTTTTGTTTTTGAGTTTTTTTAAGCTTTATCTGGGTTTCCAAGTGCTTTTGTAATCTTAGATTACTTAACTTTCATGGCAACGTAAGGGTCACCACAGCCAACCAAAGACTAATCATAACCACCACCGGGTAATCCAGTGGTTGAGGACAAATTCCACCCCAGTATTCTATACGGCACGTCCTGGGTTCAATTTCTGGCGCTAGTGAATCATACGATGGTGACTAAAAGGGGGCTTAAATGCATATGTAAGTCTTTCCATTCCACGAAATGGTCGACTGTCGTGGCGAAACCATCAATTAGTCCATTTTCAAAACAAATTAAAAAAACAAAGAAATCCAAAGACATAGTCATACGGTTATTTCACTTTAGGATTGGTCCTCCTTAATTGAATGTAGGACATTGTCCATTTTCCTTTTCACACCAAAACCTTAAGTAGCGTGACAACCAACATGCATGAGTCTTCATCATTACTTATTAGGCCCCATATGAACCTTGAACTATCATTTCCTATTAATAATAGTTCAACTATTGCCCTACCTCAATTTTTAATTCAAGTGGTGATCCAAATCAAATTTATTACGCACACGCACATTATCCCATAGGAGAACAAGAACGTTACGTCCATAGCACAAGTGTTTGTAACTATGTATCTTTGCGTAACGATACTAAGTGACAAAATATACATGTATCTAACTAAACATTGAATTCAAGCATTGGCGAGAATTTATAATTCCATTTGTAGAGTTATTTCATACTTAGTAAGAGTTTAATTTCATATAGAACACTAAACTTCTAAGCAAGTGTTCTAAATATCTGCCTAGGTAGTAGGCGAGTGGCTACCGTTGCGATTAATCTCTATGAGTTTTTTTTTTTTTTTTTTTGGAAGAGATTCTCTATGCGTTTAAAAAATAAGAAAGGGCACCTACACTCGCCAAGGTGGACATAAGTAGCCTGGGCGGGCTTGGTAGTTTTGTGACTTTTTTTGCTATTTTTTTTTTCTAAGAAAATGACTTAGAGTCGCGACTCTCACTTAAACAAAAAATAGATAATTTTCATTTTGTATTTTATATTTTAAATAAATTGTAAGAGACTTGTTGGATATTTAGATGAATACATATTTATATGCTTGTTCTCATATTTTCAATATATTCTAGTACTTTATAATTTATATACTATTCTATTTTAATAGTTATATTTTCCAATATAATTATATATTTTAATTAAATTTATTATATAACATATAAATAAGTATACTCATATTTATAAAAATAAGGAAAAATCGTCTAGGCCCCCGCTTGGGCTCCTAAAGCTGCCGACTAGCACCTAAGCACCATTTAGAACTTTATTTACAAGTGCAGGTTTAGGGGAGATAAATTATTATCTAACTCTCCATTCACGAGATTCGAATCTAAAATTTTTCTTTTATAAAATAAATATAAAAAATCTCAATAAATCGTAGCACTAAGCGATTCCTTTTAACGTTTTTTAAAGAAAAAGAAAAGCACATTTCCATCTACCTCATTTATTAAGGATAGTCACACACCCACATTTCCTCCTACATGCCCTTATTGATTTTTCTCTAATATTTTTTTATTCATTCGATCAGTGTGATTGACAGAATGAATGTGTGTCTGGTCTTTTTTCTAATAAAGGGCCATTGATGAATGCCATCAAATGCCATAACCGACAAGGAAATACCGCTCTGTCAACCGCCTAGAATTCTAAACAGAGTTTTGTTCCTCAAACATCAAGTTCCTTATTATTTCCCAGAAATTAAACAAGAAAAGAAAAATAACATAAACAAAAGAAATAGAAAGGGAGAAACAAAGACATACGTTAAGCTGCTCAGTAATGGAGTCCTGCTGGTTAGTAGGAGCGATAATTAATGAGCCAGTCGCCGACCTGTCACCTAACCTTGCAAACGAATTGTGGGTTGTCAACCATGAATACTTGTTAAACGGTAGCGTTTGAACCTGCTCTTGTATAAATGCACAACTACCCCATCAGACAGACAGAAACAAAAATAAAGACCAAAACTTTTAAGAAAAATGGAAAATCAAACAAGTTGGATTTATGGGAACCTGAGAAATGGGGCTGATGGGTTTGATTCTGGTGCATTTGGGCACCACGTTGCCGTCTGCAACGCACGTCTCGCAGTGCAATCCCGAGTCGCAGTCGCTGTTCTTGATACATCTCTGTCCCTCCTGGAAATTGCAGAAGACAAAAAAAAAAAAAAAAAACTGAGGAAAAATGGGTTTTAAGGCTGTGGAAAATGTACAGAATTAATAAGATATGAAATGGGTTTTCAGTTTTAGATCAGAGAGATGAGAGAAATAAATCAAGAGGTTAATACCTCGCGAGCTGAAGAAAGATCGAGGAGTGAAATAGTAGATAACAGAGTTGCAACAAAAATAAGTCTCTGCAAGTAAAAAAATATAAAATAAACAAGTGTGCGAGAAGGTGATGGAGCTAGAAGGAGGTGATGGAGAAGAAGTTGTTAATTACGTGCTCCATTGAAGTGTTAGGTGGTGAGCTTTAATTCCACAGACGCTATAGATTCAGGGAAATTATGAAGTAAAAAGAAAGAAAGGAGTCCTCTGTTACAAGAACAAATGAAGAAAAGAAATACAATTTGTTGAGGACTCCTCTTACCCTCTATAAATCACCCAATGTTTGAGTTATATTATGTAACAAGTGTTGTGGGAAACAAAGTTGGGGGATGTTTCACAATAAAAACAAGTAATTATATGACTTGATCAAGTGCGGTCCCACCCTAGAACCTCTCTCTTTTTTTCCTTTTTTTTTTAAATATTAAAAAAATCGAACTTAAGAAGTCAAATGCAAATTAAAATATTCTTAATGTTACAAATTTCTTGCCCTCTTTCTCTTTTAGATCAACATGAAATGTGTGTTGTTTTTATGTTTATATATTTGGTCTTGAGAGCCACCAGCAGATTGCTAATTTATTAGTAAGTAGGATTCTTATTCCCTCAAATTGACAATTTTTTTATGCGCGGATAAAGGCCTATTGAAATGGGTTGTTGCATTTCGTACTTAATCTTATTAGTTGAAATGTTTATTGAAACTATCATTTAGTCTGAGTTTACTCTTTGAAATTGGTTTTGTTACACTCTACCCTGAAACTAACATTTTCAACTCTTTTGATCTTACTTCACTTCATTCCGTTAAAAAACTATTAAATACAAAGGTATTTTAGACATTTTATTTTTATACATCTATTTACCTTTAGCCTACACATTAAACCAACCTCAATTCTATTTTTGACAATTCTAATTCACATCCATGAGTTTTGGGCCTTTTAAAAATAAATTATTCAATCAAAAGAAAATTTTTTAGCAACAAAATCATTATATCAGCCAAAATAAGGGTTTACTTTTTTGTTTTTAGGGTCATTTCACATGCAAAGCATCCACGTATACTTTGCATTTGAAAAATATTAACTACAACATAAAGGCAACATGATCAACCTATTTCAAGATATCTTTCTAATTGAAATTGGCCTAACCACAAGTTTCACCCATCAAATAATGATCTCAGATCAGTTGCACAAAATATAATCTCAAAAAAAACCATTAAGCTATCATGTCCAAAATCCTTCCCAAACCAAAAAAAATCATCTAACACAAATGTGCATAGTTTACAACTAAAAGTCTGACATCATTGCTTGTCTCGAAATTTTTTTATTGATTGAATAAGTTATTTTTAAAAATGCCCTAACTCATGGGGTTTGAATTAGAGTTGTCAAAAATGAATTGAGATTGGTTTAGTGTGTGGCTATAGGTAAATAGATGTGTAAAAAGTAAAAAATTTAAAACTTAACAGTTCTTTACCGGAATGGGATGTGAAAATGTTAGTTTCAGAAGACAAAGTGAGACAAAACTAATTTCACGAAGTATATTGAGACTAAATGACAGTTTCAGAGTGCAACCAACATTTTAAGAAGGGTTAATTGGATAACTCTCTTAGACCAAGTAAATTGTAGACCATGCATGGTGAAACCTTGTTTTCTTTTTCCCATGGGATTATTGGACCAAGCTTCTACCATTCCCCTAATCGTTTGATTTCAATGGATCTTACTCTAACCCTACACAATTGAGCAAGAGCTTATGGCTTTGCGTAAGCATGAGTGTATGACTGTTGGGATTAAGAGTTTATTCCATATCCATATGAACTTATTAATCCTCATGCTAAGGACTTAGACCAAAGCAATGGGTACCTTAATATATAGGGTTATGCAGACCAACTGGGGGAGCTAAGAAAATATGTAATGCAATACGTCTTTCCTGTTTTTTCTGAGACTACAGTTTGAGAAAAACCAAGTTCTCAGCAAGGAAAAGAAAATGATACGATCTGTCTTCAGTTTTGTTTTTGCTTGAAGCAGCTTCCTTCTCTCATGAAATGGATGTGACCCATTACCAGGGCCGGCCCAGGCCCAGTGCAGGAGGGGCAATCGTCCAGGGCCCAAAAAAATTAGGGGCACCAAAATTATTAGGGCGATATATTTACATATGTTTTTATAAGAGTATAAATTTATAAAATTTGATCCAAAGACAAATAAATTTAACTAGAAGCGGTGGTTTGTCATTTGAAAATAATAAGGAGGTCTTGGGTTCAAAACACCATGTGTGCTTATTTACTTTCCTTTTTTTACAATTTTTTTTATAAGAGTATAAATTTAGAAAATTTGGTTAAAGGATCAAAAAGTTTAATTGGAAACAATGATTTTTGTTGTTTAAAATTAACAAGTGGTCCTAAGTTCGAAATGCTATGTGCATGTTTATTCTTTTCAATTTTTACAAATTTTTGTTTGGTTGGTAATTTATTTTTTGTTACTATCTAGTAGCTATGTGGGTTGTTATTTTTAAATATTCGTTTTAATTCAAGTCTAATCTTCAACAAAGAATAATACGTAGACCAAATTTGCAAATTATATGACGTGTCATCAAAATGTTTAATTTAGTACCCATTCATTAATAATACATATTAGTTAAAGATTCGAAAACATCATTATTTTTTAGTCCAGTATTGACAAGTTTAGTAAATAAGAAAAAAACACCTCACGATTTATTCAAAAACACATTCAAAGTTCAAATGGAAAACAAACTCATCATCTATCTACTTGTAAGCCCGCAGTTTTTTTGTTTCCCTCTCTCAATACAAAATAAATTAGTCTTTCTGTGTTTCTAAATTATTAAGTTTGAAGTGTTTTTCTAAGTATAATTTTTTCGATGTCTTATGTGTGAAAATAAATAATTTTCTTACATGAAGTTAGGACATTTTTTTTTACGTCGCCCCGGGCCTCAAAAATCTCTGGACCGGCCCTGCCCATTACGCACTGAAAGTGCTTTATCTACAAGACTAGGTACAAGTACAAGACTTGTAAGTTACAAACTTTGACAGACTTAGGGAAACTAAGAGGACTTCTACTCTCACAAGCGATGTTACTTCTCCACATGCAAGTGTGTACGTACGGTTTGTAACCTGTCAAACTGAACTGGAATTGGTGTAAACCAAACCGCTCAATTTTATTGACATTTTAAAGTAAAATTGAACTAAACTGGTGACAAGTTTTTATTTCGGTTTCAATTTGGGTATAGAACCCGACCGAAATAGACCGTGCCCATCCCTAAAAAAGAGAGGGGAAGCAATTTGACTTCAAGGTTCATGGTTGAAGAGGTATAGAATTTAAACACCAAGGCAATTCACCCCTTGCAAATATGATGATTTCTTACTTTACCATAAGGCTAGTATTTTTTGCAACTAAACCACCCATAAAAATTAAAAGTTGGCTACAACAGCTTATGTCCTCACCTTAAATATGCTTTTACATACACTTGGGATGAGAGGGGATGGGTTTAGCCTTACAATGGGCTAGCAATAAAATGTAGTTCAAATTCGCCTTTAGCAAGGATTGAGCATAAAACCTCTCACTTACAAGTGAAGAGAAATATCATTAGACCGTAGTACTAAGTAGCCACATACACTTTGTTATGGTTAATACTAATCATAGGACGTTCTTCTTGCGCATAATGGCAGCACTTCCACAGCAGCTTTCTTCTCCTTTCGTAGTTCCAGGGTTAGGGTTAGAACCTTAGAATTAAGATTAGGGAAAAGGGCCAGAGAAGGAGCAGGTGAAACAAGACCCAGGGATGCGATTTTTTTTTACTTTTAAACCAGCGACGTTGTGGAAGGGAGATTTGAACACTGAACATTGAATAATATCACTCCTTCACTTTCGTAATTCTAGTTTGGCAACTCTTAACAAAATATGTAAAATTTCATGCATTGGATTTTTTCTTTTTCTCAAAAAGGTGACTAGCTGGTGACTTTACTATAGTAGTCTATTCTTTCCGTGACCGTAAATACTCACAGAGGCATTTTAGCCTCCTTCTAACCACCGTCGTGTGATTCACTAATGACAGGAATCAAACTCAGGACATGCCATGTGAAATACAGGCTTAAAATTCATCATCAACCACTGAGTCACCCGTGGTTGTTCATGCATTGGATTGGATAAAGGGTTTTTGACCTAAATATGAGTTTAGTCACTCCATCTCTTTGGTCATTTCATGGGCCAATAATATTGAGTTAAATACTAGGCTGGGCATTGCTTTTAAGTTGATCTTCAAAACCACATAAATGAAGTTGGGCCTAATCAAGGTCCTCTCGGTACTCCAACACTATATTGCACTTTTATTTTTGAACTAGCTTAACTCAACTCGTGAAAAGCAAGCAAAGATTTATAACTTTCAACTCAAATTTGAACTTCTACAAACACATTTTTAGAGGTCACCAACTCTACTTTAGGGTTGTGTTTGACCCATGAGTAAAAAATATGTTGTCACTTCATGTAATATTGAGAATGCATGGAGAGAAGGACTAGTATGCAAGATCCTGCCCATGTTAAAAAAATAAAAAATCTGAATTATAATTCGAGCACGTATTAATTGATATTCTCCAAAGTTTGCATACACGATTAGATTACATCATTATTTATTTCCTTTTGTTTCTGCTAAACATTATACAATTTATTTACATGATTATTTGACATGTTTTTGTGGCATGACAACGCAGACAGCATCATCATAATTCATCACCATGCCCCAACAATGTTTTTGTGGGTCTCACGTGAACCTTCCCCTAATGGAAGGGATTAGAAATCTCCCTCGCATGCCGTCAGGTCACTAGGATGAGAGGATTGAACGAACACGTCGACCCTGGGATAATTTCCATGAAATGTGAAGGGATGGAGGATTCAAAAGTTTTTAGTATCCTTTTGATGATTTTATACTTTGAAAAAAAACATAAAGAAGCAATAATTTGAGGAATAAACATCGACTAATTCTGTACTAGCAGTCACGTTAATATAAAGAATTCATTGAATTTTGATCTATGTTTTCTCAAGAATCTAATTAGCGAAAACTCCAAAGATAGAAAACCTTTTAAACACTAAAAGATTCCTAAAGCAATATGCGCAATCGAAAAAAAGTCACTAGTTGTCAAAGTTATTCATCTTTCACTATGAGGAATCTTGTAGTAAAGATTTGAAACTCAAGTGGTGGATGGGTTTGCGATACAATTTCTTTTATGGAGGCCTTTAAGGAAAGGGATTCCCATTTTTATATAAAAATGGGCATTAGTTGTGAAGCAACCGTCTATTTTTTAAGTTGCACTTCATAGATTATCCTTGCAAA